GAATGACTAAAAGATGTTCCAAATAATGTAAAACTGTGTCACTATAGATGAACAAGAAAACTGTCCTTCTACTCAAAGCACTGCTGACACCAAATATATAGGTTTTTCTACACCACTCTTTCAGTCCCATGAGAATACCAAGAATCACGTAATTTTCTGTTGTGGTGTCTTGGCTTTTTTGTTTGGTTGGCTGGTTGGCTAGTTGGTTTTCAGATTTTTCAAAATAGGGTTTCTGTGTGGCCTTGGCTATCATGCATCTCACTCTGTAGACCAGGCTGGCCTTGAATTCAGAGACCCAGCTGCCTCTGCCTCCCAAGTGCTGGGATTAAAGGTGTGTAAAATCACTGCCCAGTTTTCTTATTTGTTGTTTTTTAAGAATTCTGTATTTAACTCAAATCAGGATTAACTGCCTGAAATAGCATTGGTTTAGAGTTCAGTTCTACAAACTCACACACACACACACACACACACAAATGCACTCAGACAGTGGGCACACAATTGGCTTCCCAGATTACCTACCCTTCCTCCAACTGTCTACCAACCTAGAATCCTCAACCCTTTTCGAGCTTAGTAACAGGCTATGATAACTCTCTACGTCCAGAAAATGCCTTTATAAGCCTATTGTAAAGATAGTATAAAGAATGAAAACAAGCTAGGCGTGTGGTGTTGCATGCCTTTGATTCCAGCAGAGGCAGGCAGATCTCTGTAAATTCCAAGCCAGCCTGATCTACATGAGTTCCAGGCCACACAAGGATACAATAGAGAGAGACTCATCCCAAATAAATAAAAAAGAGAAAATAATATAAACAATATAGATAAACATAAAATAAAGAAGTGCAAGGTTCACCAAGGAAACAGGGCCAAGAGTTTCCTTCTCTCTCTCCTCCCACCCTTCAAATATTCTGAAACGCAGGTTTTCCAAACCCATGGTTTAGGGTTTTATGAGAGCCCCATTACGGAAGCAGGATCATCAGACCACCGCCGGTCACGATTATCTCTAACTTCTCTCTCTTTTTAGAGGTCAAAGGTGAAGCGGAAGTTTCAACTCTGATCTCAGCAGAGAAGCGTCAGGCACCAAGCTTCCATCCCAGAAGCTATCTACTGACTCACTAGTAATCTCAAGAATGTACAAAAGTGTACTCAAACCAGAAATCCCAAGAGTCATAAACCTTCCAGGATCAAAACAGGGAGAATAGGCACTTCTGTTTTGTTAGGATGAGTGGTCTCAATGCTGGCATTAGATGTGTTTTTCACTGCACCCAGTTCCTGTATTCCTTATTTCAAAATATAACAATAAGTGATTAATTAATAAGAGCTAAAATTTACTAGCTAATCCTTCTCTTCAGTTTTAATGAGCTAACCAAGCCTTTACCAATAAGAACGACAAATCACACTTTGCTGCACAAAGCATATCTGATGTTGGAAGAATCATAACAAAATTCTTAACAGAAAAAAAGGGAAGTAGGTATATAGACAAGGCTGGGTACAACCTTGAATCTAGGCCAACCTGGTCTACATTGCTACTTTCAGGCATCCAGGGCTATATATTGAGCTCCTGTCTCAAGCCCTGGAATTAAAGGCAAGTATCTCCGTACTCTGCTATGTCAGCAGTTCTTGCTTTCACTCTGGTGACTGAGGTATATCTCTGGTTTTAGAATATAGGAAAAGATATATCCTAAAGTTGTTAGACATTTCCTGGCTTACAACCACCTTGGCACTTTTCTTTCTCCACAGAAGCTGAATGTAATCACTCATCAATCATACATCTATCTTATCCATCATATCAACAATTCAAAACCAAGGCACAATAAACACAATGAAGCACATCCTTTATAACCCAGAGCAATAACAGTTCCTCTTCCTATAACACTACATGTGTACTTTCTTCTTCTCTCAAAGTAGTAAGATGTAGTGGAATTATCCAAATGCTTTCATGGGCATTTAAAACCTACTTTAAAACAAGGCATGATAACACACGCTTATAATCCTGGTATTTGAAAGGCTGAGGCAGGAGGATTTCCATGACTTCAAGTCTAGCCTAGGTCCAAAGTTTGGACCAATATGGACTCCTAAAATGTTTTTGTCTTTAGTCTGTTTTAAGCCTGTTGTCAGTGGTACTCTCTTCAATATCAACTTGTCCCCAACAAGTTCAGCCATCAACAGTCATCTATAAATAGGGTCAGAAATTACCTCTGAGAAATTTCTCATTAGGTGATCTCTCATTCTGAGAAACAACACAGAATGTGCACAAACTAAGATGGCTTCCACCTCACTAGGCAACTAGTGCCATAGTTACATATGTAGTCGATTGAACTGATGTCACGTAGCACCTGAATGCATGTTTTATTTCACTAAACAAACACGCCATACATTAATCTAAGCTAACAGTAATTTTTCTTTATCTACTACTTATTACTGGATAATAGTGCACACTACTGCATAAAACTTTTAAGAAGCCAAATGTAACACCTGTGCAATTTCTAGTGCTTTCTGAAGTATTGCTTCTGCACTTGGGCTAGCCTTTGGAGCCCAGGCATTGAGCAGAACGAATCAAGTTTCAGAAAACATCACCATGTTCCAAAAATAAAGAAAAGAAATTAGATAATGATCTGGAAATTGTTCCCTCTTCTAATAAACCACAGCTGCCACTTGCCTTCCTGCTGCATGACATATGAAAACTAAGTTACCTGGCTAGCTATATATTTTTTCCCAAAATTTGCTTTTCTCAATAGAAAAATAGGAGGAAGGACACTAACATTTTAAAGTTTCTTGCCTCTAAAATGTTACAAGTTGATGTTGAAGAGAGTACCACTGAAAATAGGCTTAAAACAGACTAAAGACAAAAACATTTTAGGAGTCCATATTGGTCCAAACTTTGGACCTAGGCTAGACTTGAAGCATATGACTGTAGATCTGCTATATACATGCCATTACCCATAGTTAGCCTATGAAACTTAGTAACTTTGAACAGTTCCCTAAGGCCAAAGCCTTCTGTTTCTTAGACTCAGATACATTGTTCCAGTTTAGTCACTGCTTGAGAAAGTATTTGTGGGAGCCTATTACAAAGGAGCCACCACTCCAGGTTCTAGAGATCCGAAAGTGTGTAAGACACACCAAACCCCAGTCAAAACGCACATCCTGGCTATGGACGGGACATAAAGGACCACACAGGGTAATGTAAGAATTACATCAGTAAGTCAACATGATTTATCCACAATGGCCATCAAATCTTTTTTGATTGTCTATAAGTGGCATTAGTTACAAGACTCAGCAGCGGGGTGTGACATCCACTGAGAACTGCTAACTGTGCCCTTCTCATTAACAGTGAAGCATGCAACTGCTTTCCCCTGCTGCACAGAATGACTTACTTATAAGGTGACTATGTGACTTAGGCTCCCAGAAAGCAGAGTTCTAACAATTTTGTCTCTCATCCCAAATTCTCTTTACCCTTATTCACTGAGGTGAAGGGTTACAATGCTAAAATAAAGGAAGTATGGTCGTTTGACAAATGTCCCTATGAGAAACGGGGAGGTTTCAACACACTCATCATTAAGGCCCCAGAGACAGCACATGCGATCCATTGGGCAATGCCATCCAGGCCTCATATGCTGACCAATAGCTCCCAAGAAGTCCCTGGTCCCACAGTGGACATCACCAGCACTTCCCACCTTCAAAAAAAAAAAAAAAAAACCAGAAACTCCAACATTCTCAAACTTTGGAATACATGCAAAATACAAAGTTTTGTTTTAAGCAAACAGGACATTCATTTACCAACTTCCTTCTCTCACCTACTTGTACAAATTGACAAATGTAGCTTTTGGCTGTTTCTGTAGCAACCTCCTGGGGGATTTATTTGTTGTGACCCTTAGATGTTCCTGTCACTGAGATTTTGTGAGAACTTGAGTTGCTTGAGGAACGCTGTTTCAGGAGCACATCTTCCCTATCACCACCTGCTAAAAGCCTTACTAAAGCTGCAGCACTCAGCAAACTTTCTTTGGCAAGACACAGTTGCTTTGTGGAGAGTGGAGGCTGCTGCCGGTGTACACTTTGTATTTCCTCCTGGGCCAGTCACACCCTGGCAACTGAGTTTCTCAAAGAAAGCCTCCTCCCCCTCGCAGAAGGGTCTTCCCCCTGCCTCACCTCAGAAGGAAACAGCAAGCCTTCTCACCAGAAAAGCCACATTCACAAGTTGAAAGTTTGCATGAAGTTTCATTGATGTGGGAACGCCCTGCCTCCAGCTAGGTAAAGTGTATCACAAATGTATTCCAGCCTTGCCTAACCCTGAATGAGAACTGTGCTCCTCCTCCGTTGGTGGGGACAAATTCTCAGTCTCACCCCAGTTTCCCGCCACCACCACCTCCACCTCTGCCACACCGCAGCCCCACAGAGTCACACAACTCTGAGAGGGACCACTTCCTCCTAGAAGCCAAGGGAGAGGATCAGGTCTCCAGGACCCACACACCTGAGATCGGTCGTCACGCACGAGGAGGAGTAGGCTAGCAGGGGAGTCAGGATCCTCCAGCCAGAACGGAGTCGGCCTCACCGAGGACTAGAGTGGCCCTGAGCTCGCGGCGAGCGCGCCGGGATGTCACCGGGTCAGGCGGGGCCACGGTAATCCGACCCGCCCGCCGACGCCCCTCCCGGCCACTTCCTCCTCCCCTCGTGCGCCTCCGCCTCCCCGGAGGATGATCCGGCGACTCAGCCACCGCCTGCGCCGTGACACCGCGGCCGGGGCTACTCCGCCCGGCCGGAAAACGCGGAAGTGCAGTCGGTGGGGAAGGGTGGCTGCAGACCCCGCGCTCTGGGCCTCGCGGGGACGTGAGCTGGCCATGCCCGAGCGCGACTCCATACCCTGCCACATTTCGCCAGCTGGAGGAAAGATGAGAGGGCTGAGCTAGGCCGGGGAAGCCGCCGGGGTGTCGGGTTTCTGTCTCTCCCCACGCGGGCCACTCCTGCCATCTGCCCGGGAGGAGGACGTTACCCCGCCGGGGTTGCCTTACCTGATCACGCGTCGCGCGCCCTCAGATCCGGCGTCCCCTCCTCCGCGCCTCCCGGTCGCCAGGCTTCCCTGGGCCTAGAAAGGCGTCTGGGAGTCGGGGAACCCTAGGGACTCGGCCTGCAGCTCTCGGCCCGGATACCCCAGAGTGTTCTGCGTGAGCTCCAGGCCTCTGGACCCCAGGCCTGAATGTTAGCACGGGGACCCGCGGAGAAGACCGAGCCCAGTCAGCAAGGATGGGATGCTGAGGGCCCGGCCTCGTACAGGTGGGGGGAGGCGGAGAGCCCTGGCTGCGGAGCCACAGGCTTCCCGCTTGCACCCCCTCCCAGCCCGACCCTGCCCACTGAGCATGCCCAGCTCACTTGTTGCAACTACAAGGGTTAAGCAAACCCAAGGGTACCCAAGGAGGGCTCAGGTTGGGTTCAGAAAGACCCCACTTTAAATTCTGATATCATGGAGTTGAAAAGTATGCAGGAACTGATCCGAAAAGCTCCTTAAGCCAAATTAGTTTGAAGGAAATTTTAACAGTGTTTAGCAAGTCACGTATTTAGTATTCTTAAACGCTGTAGAATTCCTACAATTAACTTACAGAAACGTGTGGTGTTACAAACTCATAAGAAACTTCTGGGAGCTATACATTGTAAAGACAAAACAACTTGTTCCTGGCCTTAGACATGTTGAATTTAGGAACTAAGCTTCTGTCGTTGTACCGCTGAATGGGTTTGGAATGAGCCTGGAAATCCTTAGCGTTTAAAATTTGCCTTTCACAGTTCAGCTAAGGTGCCTGGTACAGCAGCATCTGAAAACTTGACAAAAATGCAAATTATCTGAGCTAGAGAGTACCTGAGTCACAAACAACCCCCTAAGTCTGAGCTCCAGACCTAGCCAAGCATTCCAGAGATCCAGATTCACACATCGGTTGAGAGCCGATGTTCAATAGCTCGGTCCTAAATGATTCTAGTTTGAGAACCCTAGTAGTAAGCCATTGACTTTCGGTTTTCCTCTTTTTCAGATCCCAAATATTTACTTAGAAGTTCAATGCGTTTCTCAGCAAAGAAGTAGGTCGAAATCAGGCACCCATGCTGGCTTCCCATTAATTCACTTGAAAGACTTCAGTTCCTGGAAATGGAAACCATTCCATCATTCACTTTCGCATTCTGATGCCTTTAAATGATGTTTCTAAATGTTCGTTGATTTTAAATGGTTGCCTAAGTGAACAGTGTGTTTCAGGCCCAACGACGTCATGTCTTTCTTCACTAACTACTCTACCCACGAAGGATTCAGCTCTCGTAAGAAACTCACGAGCACCCCTCAGACCTGGGCATAACTTAGACGAGAGAGAAGATAGAGAAAAATCAGAAGCACTGAGTAGCATTGCAATTGACAAAGATGGGCCCCAAAACAGGAAAGATCAGAACAGGAAGTATCCAATAGGATTCACGAAAAGCCCAAAAGGAAAAAGATGTGGGTGGGTGGGGGCAGGGTAAAGAGCCAAGAAGCAACCCCGAACAATCCACGTTTTCTTTTGAGTCCTCTTTGTCAAAACCACTGTATTTTGCCACTGTTCGTTGTACATCACATTTCATCTCCACCAGGGCTTTGAATAAAAGGAGCAAAAACAGAGAGGAAAATGTTCTACGGCAGATATAGTCATGAATTAAAACTACCGCTTGCTTCTAACTGCTCAGATCACAACTAACTCAGGACATGTTTTTTTGTTTAAAATTAAAAAAAAAGCGGCACATCTTTCATCCTAGCTGACTGGAGATAGAGGATGGCCATGAATTCTACATCAGTGTGGCCCACGTAGCAAGTTCCAGGCCAGTGCTACAGTGAGCCTATCTGAAGGGGGGGGGGGGGTAAACAACGTGTAAGGAGGGAAACACAGCAGCTTTCTAAATGCTTCGTCATGTTTATGATGGCAAGACAAAGTACTTTGAACTTTACCTTCGAAAGGTATTGATCTAAGATTTCCTTAATCTAAGATTTCCTCTAACGCAGTAACGGTTGTATGTCAAATTCGGCAGCCATCAGTGCTTCCTTCTCAAACCCTATTGTGCCTCATTCCTAAACTTGCTTTGTTCTGTTTGAATTCCACGACTAAAGAACAACAGTAGCAAAAAGAAGTGGTTTTTGTATCAGTAGTACTACCATCAGTGCTTCTGTCATTTTTTAAGTGAACAACAGATAATTTCAAAATGTACAGGTTTAAGGTAACTAAAATATCACAGAAACTTATAAGATCTAAAAGTATTCTTTACTACTCTTACTCCATTAGTGTCTGGTTTGTTTTTAAAGACTGGGTCTCTAAACTCACTCTGTAGACTTAGAATTAACTCTGTAAATTAACTCTGTAGGCCAGACTGGCCTCGAACTCACAGAGATCTTACTGGCCTCTGCCACTGGCATGCTAACAGAAAAGTCATGTGTCACACTAGGCTCCATAAATATTTTCTAAAGAGCAGAACATACAGCCAGATTCCCCTCTCAGTCTCATATGCAAAGCTTTAAGCTTTTTTAAGGCTGCTGTTTGTGAGTACCTGATTTGACATTTGTTCAACCATCTTATCTCTGTCCAGATGTCTTGCACTTATTATGATAAAAACTCCACTGAAAGAATTTGTTTGAGGACTAGAATATCTAACAGGAACACAGTTTCCCAAAAGCTTAGGCTGTCTGTCTATTTGCCTGTCTTTTTTGGTTTTTTTTTTTTGAGACAGGGTTTCTCTGTGTATCTCTGGCTATCCTGGAACTCACTCTGTAGACCAGGCTGGCCTCGAACTCAGAAATCTGCCTGCCTCTGCCTCCCAAGTGCTGGGATTAAAGGCGTGCACCACCACTGCCTGCAAATATATATTATCATAACAAAAATAACTGGGTAGGGAGTGAAAGGATACTCATTAGTTTAGTTTAGGAATTGCTGTTTGAAACTTACAATTAAAGAGTCTCGAAATATGCCTCAGTGATGAAGAATACTGGCTACATTGCCAGAGGACCATGGTTCAATTTCCAGCATCCACATGGTAGCTCACAGCCCTCTGTAACCCCAGCTCCAAGGAATTCAACATCCCTGGCCTCTGAGAGCCTGCAAGTATGCACATACATGCTGGCACACACACACCACATACACACACACACATGCACACACAACTATACTTAAGTACTACTACTACAAAAAAAAACCACTTCTTTTTGCTACTGTTGTTCTTTAGTTGTGGAATTCAAACAAAGAAAGTTTAGGAATGAGGCACAATAGGGTTTGAAAAGGAAGCACTGGTGGCTGCAGGCTTTGAAAACATACAGCCGCTACTGCAGCAGAGGCAATCTTAGACCAATACCTTTCGAAGGTAAAGTTCAAAGTGCTTTGCCTTACCATCATAAGCATGACAAAGCATTTAGAAAGCTGCTGTGTTTCCTGCCTTACACATAGTCAAATAACTTGGGTGCCACCTAACTTTTCTTACACTCTTAAGAGTCACAAGCCTGTAATTCCAGCTACCTGGAAGACTGAAGAAGGAGGAGCACAAGTTCAAGGCCTGCCTGAACTACAAAGGGAGTGAAAGGCCAGGCTGGATGGCTTAGCCAGACTCTGTCACATTGTTTTGACAACAACAAGCCAGTACTATAGCTAAGCAGCAGCGCATCTGCCCACATGCGTAGCCTACTGGGGGTCCTGTGTTAGGTTCCCAGCATTGTTCAGAAGAAATAAAGGGGAGAAGAGAGGTCGACTCAAAACTGTCGTAGATTTTCACCCTCATATATCTGTCCAACTCGGAAAGACTTTCCTCTATACACACGAATCTTACCAAAGTCCAGTTGCCCTACCATTTTTTTCTGCATGTATATCATGTATCATCAGGCAATGTATGCCATTATCTATGCATACCCATGGGACAAAATAAACGAGAACTCTTTTTCTCATTCCCAAATCGGGGAGGCACAACTTCTACTACGATCTTAAACCCAGTTTCTAATATGGAGGAATGCTTTTCCAAATAGGGGAAGGGATGGGAGGTGGGGGGTCAGGTATTATGGCTATTAATGAACCAAATCTGACTTTGTTCTACCACACAGTATGCTAATCACAAAACAATACTTTTTACAAAGCAGAAAAAGTTTAGTTACAAGGTGGCCAAGAGTGGGAGGAGAGGTCCAAGTCTCAAATCTAATACATTGAGGACGTAGGGCTTAGAGAAGTGTATGGGGTGAAAAATCAAAGAGTTAGAGGGGGAGGGGAATGGTTTGTAGAGGTTAAGTAACCAGGTCCATGCTTGTGTAATTGAACATGATGACCCTTACTGGAACATTGTACAGACACTGACAATATTAACACTATCTGAGGATTTTGGAGCTCTTAGAAAAAGCTCTAATCCATCGGCACCAGGCATAGTAGTGCATGCCTGTCATCTCTGTGCCCAGGAAGCCAAAGCAGGAAGATTTCAAATCTAAGAGCAATGTGTGCTCTCAAAGTAAGACATGAGACCCTGCCAAAAAAAAAAAAAAAAAAAAAAAAAAAAATGGAAGGGATCTTTGTAATGAATAGTCTTAATTTTCAACATGACATCATTTACAATCACCAAGGCCAACTTCTGGGCATGGCTGTGAAGATATTTATAAGGCTGTGGTGTTTTGAATGAAAATGGCCCTCATAGGCTCCTAGGGAGTGGCACTAATAGAAGGTGTACCCTTATTGGAGGGATTACATCACTGGGGTGGGCTTTGAGGTTTCAGAAATTCAAGCCAGGTCTAGTGTCATTCTCTCTTTTTGCTTCATGCCAATCCAGATATAGAACCCTTGGCTCCTTTTCCATTACCATGTCTGCCTGTGTGCCACCATGCTTCCTGTCATAATGACAATGGATTAAATCTCTGAACTGTAAACTGGGTCTCAATTAAATGTTTTCCTTAATAAGCACTGCTGTGGTCATGGTGTCTCTTGACAGCGATAGAAACTCTAATTAAGACAAAGGTTTATCGAACACAGACTTGACGTGCCAGGGTAGGGGGATAACCTGGGGGAAGCCCCCCACCTGCTCATAGGAGAAGGGGAGGTGGAATGGGAGAAGGGTTGTGGGAGGGGGTGTCAGGGAGGGGGCAGTGAGCAGGATGTAAAGTGAATAAATAAATAAGTAATAAAACAAATTTAATTAGTTAATTTAAAAAAGAGGCTTAACAATGGCAGGAAAACCACCCTTACTGTAGGTAGAAGAAGTATCCCCGTGGAAAGGAGTCTTCATTGAATAATAAGGAGAAAGCAAGCTGGGCACCAGCATTGCTCTGTCAGTTTCCTGCCTGGACAGCT